CTTTGAGTCGGTCGCTCATCCAGCTCGGTCTAAATCTCTTGCTTGGTAATCTTTTTCCCTTCCATTACAGCAACCTACATTACAGTCGCCCCATTACAGAGTTCCCGCTCACTTACCAGTGCTCTGGAGCTGATACTCACCGACACATTTCACTGTTGGATCAGTGAAGTTTTGCTCCCCAGAACTAGATGCAAACCCGCGATTGCAGGTGCAGTGGTAGGACCCAGAAACATTTTCACAGGTTGCAAAGGCAGGACAAGTAGATGAATTCTGACACCTGTCAACTGTGAAAGGAAGAAGGAACCATGTCATTGAAAGAGAGCAATCAATAACACTTTGCACATTTTCTTTGACTTCTTCACTGTGGTTCACTTTCATTCGTTAACCTTGTTAACAATGCAGCGAGGGAGAAAATGTGGACCTAACAGAGCAGGTGGACGAGGTGGGAGGACCAAGGCAGCTGGCCTATCTTCTCGAGACATCAGGGAAAGGACCAAGAAAAGGCCTCCATCCCTCTCCTGTGAATCCAGGGAAACAGGAGGACATGGGAAGGGTAGCTGTGACACACTGTAGCCCATATTCACCACTTCTATATGGCTATGATCTATTTTGTACAAACTATGCCCTATGAGGTAGCATTTTGAAACCATAATGTGAGGAATATTATTATCTTCTGAAATGTGTGTAACAAACACTGCATGTGAAATTAGGAGATTGTGCTGTAGGATTATTACTGAAATATGTTGTAATTCCTCGGTAGCCCTCATAAGCCAGTTCCTCAGAGACAGGAACACACTGGCATGCCAGCAACAGGCTACAGAGTCATCCCCTGGTTAATGGGAGATTCACCAGCTGAGAAGTTCTCAACAGGAAATGTACAAATCAGCTGAAAGACAGTTTGGCGCTCACATACTGCCTGTCCACAGGACCCAGCGAGGGCATTTCCAGCACACAAGGATTGGGGTATAAGAAGAGGGACAAACGTGCCTGTACCCACCTCTCCTGTCTACCTTATCTCCCTCTGCTTATTACATCAGTGAATCTTTGAAAAACACTGAACTGAGGGGAGTGGTCCAAGAATGAAAGGAAATCCAGCCTGTGAACTGAGAACTGCCTGCAGCGTCTGGTGTGGTGAGAAGGATGTTGGCTTCAAATCTTCTATAAGCTTGGTAATGTTTTGGAATTAGCTTGAGGTTTTCTCTTTTTATTTCTTTTGTAACCAATTCTGACTTTTGTACCTTTCATCTCTCATTAATAAACATGTTTTATTGTTTTATCTAAACCAGTGTGTTTGGGAAACCTCTACTTGAGATAACAAAGGCTGGGGCATAAACATTACCCGTTGTTGGAACGTTTGTTGAGACATCGATTTGCGTGTTTTATTTTATTTTGCTTGGTGACTTACTTTGTTCGGTCTGTTACTACTTGGAAACATTTGAATCCTAATTTCTGTATTTAATAAAATCACATTTTACTTATTAATTAACTCAGAGTATGTGTTAATGCCGGGGGAGGGGCAAACAGCTGTGCATATCTCTCTATCAGTGTTATAGAGGGGGAACAATCTATGAGTTTACCCTGTATGAGCTTTATACAGGGTAAAACGGATTCATTTGGGTTTAGACCCCATTGGGAGTTGGGCATCTGAGTGTTAAAGACAGGAACACTTCTGTGAGCTCCTTTCAGGTAAGCCTACAGCTGTTAGCGGACGTGATTCAGACCTGGGTCTGGGTTTCAGCAGGCTCGAGAGTCTGGCTCAAACCAGGCAGGGCACTAAAGGGCTAAGCTGACAGGGCAGGAAAGCAGGGGCAGATGTAGTCTGAGCACATCAAGTGGCAGCTTCCCAGGGGGGTTCTGTGATTCAACCCGTGACACCACTGTTCTTGAGACATCAGGGAAAGGATCAAGAAAAGCCCTCCATCGCTCTCCCCTGAAGCCAGGAAAACAGGAGGATGTGGGAAGGGTAGTTGTGACACCCTGTACCCCATATTCACCACTTTTATATGGCTATGATCTATTTAGTACCAAGTATTCCCTGTGAGGTATCATTTGGAAACTCATAATCTGCTGACTATTATTATCCTGTTGAAATGCGTGTAACAAACACTGCATGTGAAATTATGAGATTTTGCTGTATGATTATTACTGAAATATGTTGTAATTCCTCGGTACTCCTCATAAGCCAGTTCCTCAGAGACAGGAACACACTGGCATGCCAGCAACAGGCTACAGAGTCATCCCCTGGTTAATGGGAGATTCACCAACTGGGGAGTTCTCAACAGGAAATGTACAAATCAGCTGAAAGACAGTTTGGCGCTCACATACTGCCCCCCCACAGGACCCAGCAAGGGGATTTCCAGCACACAAGAATTGAGGTTTAAGAAGGGGGACAAACATGCCTGTACCCACCTCTCCTGTCTACCTTATCTCCCTCTGCTTATTACATCAGTGAATCTTTGAAAAACACTGAACTGAGGGGAGTGGTCCCAGAATGGAAGGAAATCCAGCCTGTGAACTGAGAACTCCCTGCAGCGTCTGGTGCGGTGAGAAGGATGTTGGCTTCAAATCTTATTAAGCTTGGTAATGTTTTGGAATTAGCTTGAGGTTTTCTCTTTTTATTTCTTTTGTAACCAATTCTGACTTTTGTACCTTTCATCTCTCATTAATAAATGTGTTTTATTGTTTTATCTAAACCAGTGTGTTTGGGAATCCTCTACTTGAGATAACAAAGGCTGGGGCAGAAACATTACCCGTTGTTGGAATGTCGGACTATCTATCCTCTCATAATGTCAAGGCTCTACTGAGCAGTATCAGATGCACATTTCAGGGGAGCCGAGGCTGGGAGTGGGGATATGTGGGTGTCGCGGTGTATCTATTCATGGATGGCTGGGACAACATTCATATAAACATCTGGGAGTGATTTTGCAGACTAGTATCTGTGCATGAGCAGGCCAGGACTGGCTGGTCTGACAGAAAAGGAGCATAAAAGGAACCCCAGGTTGAGGGGTTAAGGGGACACAGAAGTTCAGGTTGCACCCTGGGGAATTTCACAGTAAGATTGAACGTTGGGAGTTGGGGGTAGGGAGGTTCTGATTCTGTGGACAGGCTGCAATGAGTTTTAGTCCAGAAAGAGACTTATCCCCCTGCATCCCGGCTCCTCATTCCATTTGTCTCTCTCCTCACCTCTTAGTTTCCAGCTTTGCCCACTGCCAGCCCCCCAACATTCCCCAGTCCCACTGAGTCCCAGTCCCAGTGTCCCTCCCCAGATACTTAGTCCAATCTCACTGTTGTTCCCCCAGACCAGCTCCTTGACCCAATCTCTTTATCTGGGCCAGTCCCATTTTCCCCCTGAACCTGTTGCCTGGACAGATCCATCTCCCCACCCTACTTCCACACACTGGTTTCCAGGCCCAGTTCCATCCCACCACTCGCACCTGCTTGGTTACTCCCTATTGTTAGCATGCTGGCTCGATGGAAGTGTAGACGTACCCTTAATCACTGCAGCATGCTCACCGGTCAGTAGAGTGCACTGCTCCAAAACTTTTCTGGCAAGTGCAAGAGCTGGTCCAATGGCATTAGAGCAACCTACATTACACTCAACACATTACAGCGTTCCCTCTCACTGTGTTGGGCTCCGGAGCCGATACTCACCGATGCATTTCACTGTTGGATCAGTGAAGTGTTCCTCCCCAGAACTAGATGCAAACCCGCGATTGCAGGTGCAGCGGTAGGCCCCAGAAACATTTTCACAGTTTGCAAAAGCAGGACAAGTAGACGAATTCTGACACCTGTCAACTGTGAGAGGAAGAAGGAACTATGTCATTGAAAGAGAGCAATCGATAACACTTTGCACATTTTCTTTGACTTCTTCAATGTGGTTCACTTTCATTCATTAACCTTGTTAACAATGCAGTGAGGGAGAAAATGTGGACCTAACAGAGCAGGTGGGCGAGGTGGGAGGACCAAGGCAGCTGGCCTCTCTTCTCCAGACATCAGGGAAAGGATCAAGAAAAGGCCTCCATCCCTCTCCTGTGAATCCAGGGAAACAGGAGGACATGGGAAGGGTAGCTGTGACACCCTGTAGCCCATATTCACCACTTTTATATGGCTATGATCTATTTTGTACAAACTATGCCCTATGAGGTAGCATTTTGAAACTCATAATGTGATGAATATTATTGTCTTCTGAAATGTGTGTAACAAACACTGCATGTGAAATTATGAGATTGTGCTGTATGATTATTACTGAAATATTTTATAATTCCCGTGTAGTCCTCATAAGCCAGTTCCTCAGAGACAGGAACACACTGGCATGCCAGCAACAGGCTACAGAGTCATCCCCTGGTTAATGGGAGATTCACCAACTGGGGAGTTCTCAACAGGAAATGTACAAATCAGCTGAAAGACAGTTTGGCGCTCACATACTGCCCCCCCACAGGACCCAGCAAGGGCATTTCCAGCACACAAGAATTGGGGTATAAGACGGGGGACAAACATGCCTGTACCCACCTCTCCTGTCTACCTTATCTCCCTCTGCTTATTACATCAGTGAATCTTTGAAAAACACTGAACTAAGGGGAGTGGTCCCAGAATGAAAGGAAATCCAGCCTGTGAACTGAGAACTCCCTGCAGCATCTGGTGCGGTGAGAAGGATGTTGGCTTCAAATCTTATTAAACTTGGTAATGTTTTGGAATTAGCTTCAGGTTTTATCTTTTTATTTCTTTTGTAACCAATCCTGACTTTTGTACCTTTCATCTCTCATTTATAAACGTGTTTTATTGTTTTATCTAAACCAGTGTGTTTGGGAAACCTCTACTTGAGATAACAAAGGCTGGGGCATAAACATTACCCATTGTGGAATGTCGGACTATCTATGATCTTATAATGCAAGGAGTTATTGACCAGTGTAAGAAGCACATTTCTGGGGAGCCAAGGCTGCGAGCGGGGATATGTGGATGTCGCGGTGCGTCTATCCATGGATGGCCGGGACAGCATTCACGTAAACATCTAAAGCATAGAAACGAGCGTAAAAGGAAAACCAAGTTAGGAGGTTAAGGGGACACAGCAGATCAGGTTGCACCCTGGGGAATTTCACAGTAAGACTGAAGGATGGGAGTTGGAGGTAGGGAGGTATGCCCTGTGAGGTATCATTGGGAAACTCATAATCTGATGAATATTATTATCTTCTGAAATGTGTGTAACAAACACTGCATGTTAAATCATGAGATTTTGCTGTAGGATTATTACTGAACTATGTCATAATTCCTCGGTAGCCCTCATAAGCCAGTTCCTCAGAGACAAGAACACACTGGCATGTCAGCAACATGCTAAAGAGTCATCCCCTGGTTAATGGGAGATTCACCAACTGGGGACTTCTCAACAGGAAATGTACAAATCAGCTGAAAGACAGTTTGGTGCTCACATACTGCCTCCCCACAGCACCCAGAAAGTGTATTTCCGTCAGAAAAGGATTGGGTTGTAAGAAGGGGGACAAAAATGCCTGTACCCACTCTCCTGTCTATCTTATCTCTCTTTTTATAACATCAATAAATGCTTGAAAAACATTAAACTAAGAGGAGTCGTTGAATGAATGAAAGAAATCCAGCCTGTGAACTGAGAACTGCCTGCAGCGTCTGGTGTGGTGAGAAGGACGTTGCCTTCAAATCTTATTTAGCTCGCTAATGTTTAGGAATTAACTTGAAGTTTTATCTTTTTATTTCTTTTGTAACCAATTCTACCTTTTCTGCCTTACCACTAAAAATCTCTCACTCTCTGATTAATAAGCGTTGTTTTATTGTTTTATCTAAACCAGTGCTCTGGAGCTGATACTCACCGACACATTTCACTGTTGGATCAGTGAAGTGTTGCTCCTCAGAAGTAGCTGCAAACCCACGTTTGCATGTGCAGTGGTAGCCCCCAGAAACATTTTCACAGGTTGCAAAAGCAGGACAAGTAGACGAATTCTGACACCTGTCAACTGTGAAAGGAAGAAAGAACCATGTCATTGAAAAAGAGCAGCGGATAACCCTTTGCACCTTTTGATTGACTTCTTCAATGTGGTTCACTTTCATTCATTAACCTTGTTAACAATGCAGCGAGTGAGAAAGTGTGGACCTAATAGGTGGCTGAGGTGGGAGGACCAAGGCAGCTGGCCTCTCTTCTCGAAATATCAGGGAAAGGATCAATAAAAGCCCTCCATCGCTCTCCCCTGAAGCCAGGAAAACAGGAGGATGTGGGAAGGGTAGCTGTGACACCCTGTAGCCCATATTCACCACTTTTATATGGCTATGATCTATTTTGTACCAAGTATTCCATGTGAGGTATCATTTGGAAACTCATAATGTGATTAATATGATTATCTTCTGAAATGTGTGTAACAAACACTGTATGTGAAATTAGGAGATTGTGCTGTATGATTATTACGGAAATATGTTGTAATTCCTGCATAGTCCTCATAAACAATTTCCTCGGAGACAGGAACACACTGGCATGCCAGCAACAGGCTACAGAGTCATCCCCTGGTTAATGGGAGATTAACCAACTGGGGAGTTCTCAACAGGAAATGTACAAATCAGCTGAAAGACAGTTTGGTGCTCACATACTGCCTCCCCACAGGACCCAGCAAGGGCATTTCCAGCACACAAGGATTGGAGTGTAAGAAGGGGGGCAAAAATACCTGTACCCACCTCTCCTGTCTATCTTATCTCTCTCTGCTTTTAACATCAATGAATCCTTAAAAAAACAGTGAATTAAGGGGAGTGGTCCCAGAATAAAAGGAAATCCAGCCTATAAACTGAGAACTGACTGCAGCATCTGGTGTGGTGAGAAGGATGTTGGCTTCAAATCTTATTAAGCTTGGTAATGTTTTGGAATTAGCTTGAGGTTTTCTCTTTTTATTTCTTTTGTAACCAATTCTGACTTTTGTACCTTTCATCTCTCATTAATAAACGTGTTTTATTGTTTTATCTAAACCAGTGTGTTTGGGAAACCTCTACTTGAGATAACAAAGGCTGGGGCATAAACATTACCCGTTGTTGGAACGTTTGTTGAGACATCGATTTGCATGTTTTATTTTATTTTGCTTGGTGACTTACTTTGTTCGGTCTGTTACTACTTGGAAACATTTGAATCCTAATTTCTGTATTTAATAAAATCACATTTTACTTATTAATTAACTCAGAGTATGTGTTAATGCCGGGGGAGGGGCAAACAGCTGTGCATATCAGTGTTATAGAGGGGGAACAATCTATGAGTTTACCCTGTATGAGCTTTATACAGGGTAAAACGGATTCATTTGGGTTTAGACCCCATTGGGAGTTGGGCATCTGAGTGTTAAAGACAGGAACACTTCTGTGAGCTCCTTTCAGGTAAGCCTACAGCTGTTAGCGGACGTGATTCAGACCTGGGTCTGGGTTTCAGCAGGCTCGAGAGTCTGGCTCAAACCAGGCAGGGCACTGAAGGGCTAAAGTGACAGGGCAGGAAAGCAGGGGCAGATGTAGTCTGAGCACATCAGGTGGCAGCTTCCTAGGGGGGTTCTGTGATTCAACCCGTGACACCACTTTTCTTGAGACATCAGGGAAAGGATCAAGGAAAGGATCAAGAAAAGCCCTCCATCGCTCTCCCCTGAAGCCAGGGAAACAGGAGGACGTGGGAAGGGTAGTTGTGACACCCTGTACCCCATATTCACCACTTTTATATGGCTATGATCTATTTAGTACCAAGTATTCCCTGTGAGGTATCATTTGGAAACTCATAATCTGGCTTACCTGAAAGGAGCTCACAGAAGTATTTTTTTATTGTTTTATCTAAACCAGTGTGTTTGAGAAACCTCTACTTGAGATAACAACAGCTGGGTGGGGACTCAGAAGCGCTAGAATCTTGGCTCCCATTCCAGACTCTGGAGGGGAGTGTCCACTAGTGGGCACAGACTTTTCTGCATGCTCTTACCCAAGCTTGGCTCCTTCAGCCTTATCCCCCCCACACACAACTTGTCCCTGTCCCACTGCAGTTTCTTCCCATCCCTGGCTCTTGTCCCACTCCCAATCAGAACACCTCACATGTCTCATTCCAGTCCCAGTCTCCTTTCCCAGCCAGTCCCAGTTCCCCTGCATCCTGGCTCCTCATTCCATTTGTCTCTCTCCTCACCTCTTAGTTTCTAGCCGTGCCCACTGCCAGCCCCCCAACATTCCCCAGTCCCACTGAGTCCCAGTCCCAATGTCCCTCCCCAGATACTTAGTCCAATCTCACTGTTGTTCCCCCAGACAAGCCCCTTGACCCAGTCTCTTTATCCGGGCCAGTCCCATTTTCCCCCTGCACCCTGTTGCCTGGACAGATCCATCTCCCCACCCTACTTCCACACACTGGTTTCCAGGCCCAGTTCCATCCCACCACTTGCACCTGCTTGGCTACCCTCTATTGTTAGCATGCTAGCTCGATGGAAGTGTAGCTGTACCCTTAATCACTGCAGCATGCTCACCAGTCAGTAGAGTGCACTACTCCATAACTTTTCTGGCAAGTGCAAGAGCTGGTCCCAATGGCATTACAGCAACCTACATTACAGTTGACCCATTACAGAGTTCCCACTCATTTACCAGTGCTCTGGAGCTGATACTCACCGACACATTTCACTGTTGGATCAGTGAAGTTTTGCTCCCCAGAACTAGATGCAAACCCGCGATTGCAGGTGCAGTGGTAGCCTCCGGGAATGTTTTCACAGGTTGCAGAAGCAGGACATGTAGACAAATTCTGACACCTGTCAACTGTGAAAGGAAGAAGGAACCATGTCATTGAAAGAGAGCAATTGATAACACTTTGCACCTTTGCTTTGACTTCTTCAATGTGGTTCACTTTCATTCGTTAACCTTGTTAACAATGCAGTGAGGGAGAAAATGTGGACCTAACAGAGCAGGTGGGCGAGGTGGGAGGACCAAGGCAGCTGGCCTCTCTTCTCGAGACATCAGGGAAAGGATCAAGAAAAGGCCTCCATCCCTCTCCTGTGAAGCCAGGGACACAGGAGGACATAGGAAGGGTAGCTGTGACACCCTGTAGCCCATATTCACCACTTCTATATGGCTATGATCTATTTTGTACAAACTATGCCCTATGAGGTAGCATTTTGAAACTCATAATCTGATGAATATGATTATTTTCTGAAATGTGTGTAACAAACACTGCATGTGAATTTATGAGATTTTGCTGTATGATTATTACTGAAATATGTTATAATTCCTCGGTACTCCTCATAAGCCAGTTCCTCAGAGACAGGAACACACTGGCATGCCAGCAACAGGCTACAGAGTCATCCCCTGGTTAATGGGAGATTCACCAACTGGGGAGTTCTCAACAGGAAATGTACAAATCAGCTGAAAGACAGTTTGGCGCTCACATACTGCCCCCCCACAGCACCCAGCAAGGGTATTTCCAGCACACAAGGATTGGGGTATAAGACGGGGGACAAACATGCCTGTACCCACCTCTCCTGTCTATCTTATCTCCCTCTGCTTATTACATCAATGAATCCTTGGAAAACACTGAACTGAGGGGAGTGGTCCCAGAATGAAAGGAAATCCAGCCTGTGAACTGAGAACTGCCTGCAGCATCTGGTGTGGTGAGAAGGATGTTGGCTTCAAATCTTATTAAGCTTGGTAATGTTTTGGAATTAGCTTGAGGTTTTCTCTTTTTATTTCTTTTGTAACCAATTCTGACTTTTGTACCTTTCATCTCTCATTAATAAACGTGTTTTATTGTTTTAACTAAACCAGTGTGTTTGGGAAACCTCGACTTGAGATAACAAAGGCTGGGGCATAAACATTACCCGTTGTTGGAATGTCGGACTATCTATCCTCTTATAATGTCCAGGGTCTACTGAGCAGTATCAGATGCACATTTTGGGGGAGCCCAGGCTGGGAGTGGGGATATGTGGGTGTCGCGCTGTATCTATTCATGGATGGCTGGGACAGCATTCATATAAACATCTGGGAGTGATTTTGCAGACTAGTATCTGTGCATGAGCAGGCCAGGACTGGCTGGTCTGGCAGAAAAGGAGCATAAAAGGAACCCCAGTTTAGGAGGTTAAGGGGACACAGAAGTTCAGGTTGCATCCTGGGGAATTTCACAGTAAGATTGAAGGATGGGAGTTGGGGGTAGGGAGGTTCTGATCCTGTGGACAGGCTACAGTGAGTTTTAGTCCAGAAAGAGATTAATCCCCTGCTAGGGTCACCATTTTGTCTTATAAGCCATGTCCACCACCAGCAGTGGCAAGAAATAATTTTGAAGGGTTCTGGTTACGTTGCTGTCAGTAAAGATCTTGACTCCAGAGCTCAATGCATGGCCGTCATTGCAAGAATAAAGTAACTCCAAAGGTCATGGTGTGAGTGGCCTGGCAAGGGCAAGATTTCCTGCTGAGACACTCGTCCACGCCTAGGGAGTCATGCAGAACTGACGGAACCAAACCTGGCCAGATGCTGGGTGGGGACTCAGAAGAGCTGGAATCTTGGCTCCCATTCCAGGCTCTGGAGGGGAGTGTCCACTAGTGGGCACAGACTTGTTTGTGTGCTCATACCCAAGCTTGACTCCTTCACCCTTATCCCCACACACTCACAACTTGTCCCTGTCCCAGAGCCGTTTTTTCCAATCCCTGGCTCTTGTCCCACTCCCAATCAGAATGCCTCACATGTCTCATTCCAGTCCCAGTCTCCTTTCCCAGCCAGTCCCAGTCTACCCCTGCACCAAATCCTCCCCTCCCAGTCCTGGTCTTCTTACCCAGCCAGTCCCAGTTCCCCGGCATCCTGGTTCCTCATTCCATTTGTCTCTCTCCTCCCCTCTTAGTTCCCAGGTTTGCCCACTCCCAGCCCCCCAACATTCCCCAGTCCCACTGAGTCCCAGTCCCAATGTCCCTCCCCAGATACTTAGTCCAATCTCACTGTTGTTCCCCCAGACCAGCCCCTTGACCCAGTCTCTTTATCTGGCCAGTCCCATCTTCCCCCTGTTGCCTGGAGAGATCTGTCTCCCCACCCTCCTTCCACACACATATTTCCAGGCCAAGTTCCATCCTACCACTGCCACCTGCTTGACTACCCTCTATCGTTAGCATGCTAGCTCGATGGAAGTGTAGACGTACCCTTAATCATTGCAGCATGCTCACCGGTCAGTAGAGTGCACTGCTCCATAACTTTTCTGGCAAGTGCAAGAGCTGGTCCAATGGCATTAGAGCAACCTACATTACACTCAACACATTACAGAATTCCCTCTCACTTAGTTGGGCTCCGGAGCCGATACTCACCGATGCATTTCACTGTTGGATCAGTGAAGTGTTCCTCCCCAGAACTAGATGCAAACCCGTGATTGCAAGTGCAGCGGTAGGACCCAGAAATATTTTCACAGGTTGCAAAAGCAGGACAAGTAGACGAATTCTGACACCTGTCAACTGTGAAAGGAAGAAGGAACCATGTCATTGAAAGAGAGCAATCGATAACACTTTGCACATTTTCTTTGACTTCTTCAATGTGGTTCACTTTCATTCGTTAACCTTGTTAACAATGCAGCGAGGGAGAAAATGTGGACCTAACAGAGCAGGTGGACGAGGTGGGAGGACCAAGGCAGCTGGCCTCTCTTCTCGAGACATCAGGGAAAGGATCAAGAAAAGGCCTCCATCCCTCTCCTGTGAATCCGGGGAAACAGGAGGACATGGGAAGGGTAGCTGTGATACCCTGTAGCCCATATTCACCACTTCTATATGGCTATGATCTATTTTGTACAAACTATGTCCTATGAGGTAGCATTTTGAAACTCATAATGTGAGGAATATTATTATCTTCTGAAATGTGTGTAACAAACACTGCATGTGAAATTATGAAATTTTGCTGTAGGATTATTACTGAAATATGTTATAATTCCTCGGTACGCCTCATAAGTCAGTTCCTCAGAGACAGGAACACACTGGCATGTCAGCAACAGGCTACAGAGTCATCCCCTGGTTAATGGGAGATTCACCAACTGTGGAGTTCTCAACAGGAAATGTACAAATCAGCTGAAAGACAGTTTGGCGCTCACATACTGCCTCCCCACAGGACCCAGCAAGGGTATTTCCAGCACCCAAGGATTGGGGTGTAAGAAGGGGGGCAAAAATGCCTGTACCCACCTCTCCTGTCTATCTTATCTCTCTTTTTATAACATCAATAAATCCTTGAAAAACATTAAACTAAGAGGAGTCGTTGAATGAATGAAAGAAATCCAGCCGGTGAACTGAGAACTGCCTGAACCATCTGGTGTGGTGAGAAGAATGTTGCCTTCAAATCTTATTAAGCTTGGTAATGTTTAGGAATTAACTTGAGGTTTTATCTTTTTATTTCTTTTGTAACCAATTCTGACTTTTCTGCCTTACCACTAAAAATCTCTCACTCTCTGATTAATAAACGTGTTTTATTGTTTTATCTAAACCAGTGCTCTGGAGCTGATACTCACTGACACATTTCACTATTGGATCAGTGAAGTTTTGCTCCCCAGAAGTAGCTGCAAACCCACGTTTGCAGGTGCAGTGGTAGCCCCCAGAAACATTTTCACAGGTTGCAAAAGCAGGACAAGTAGACGAATTCTGACACCTGTCAACTGTGAAAGGAAGAAAGAACCATGTCACTGAAAGAGAGCAGCGGATAACCCTTTGCACCTTTTGATTGACTTCTTCAATGTGGTTCACTTTCATTCATTAACCTTGTTAACAATGCAGCGAGTGAGAAAGTGTGGACCTAATAGGTGGCTGAGGTGGGAGGACAAAGGCAGCTGGCCTCTCTTCTCGAAATATCAGGCAAAGGATCAATAAAAGGCCTCCATCCCTCTCCCCTGAAGCCAGGGAAACAGGAGGACGTGGGAAGGGTAGCTGTGACACCCTGTAGCTCATATTCACCACTTTTATATGGCTATAATCTATTTTGCACAAAGTATGCCCTGTGAGGTATCATTTGGAAACTCATAATCTGATGACTATTATTATCTTCTGAAATGTGTTTAACAAACACTGCATGTGAAATTATGAGATTCTGCTGTATGATTATTACCGAAATATGTTGTAACTACTGTGTAGTAATCATAAGCCAGTTCCTCAGAGACAAGAACACACTGGCAAGCCAGCCACATGTTAAACAATCATTCCCTGGTTAACCAGAAACTCACCAACTGAGAAGTTCTAAACAGAAAATATACAAGTCAGCTGAAAGAGAGTTTGGTGCTCACATACTGCCTCCCCACAGGACCCAGCAAGGGTATTTCCAGCACCCAAGGATTGGAGTGTAAGAAGGGGGGCAAAAATGCCTGTACCCACCTCTCCTGTCTACCTTATCTCTCTCTGCTTTTAACATCAATGAATCCTTAAAAAACAGTGAATTAAGGGGAGTGGTCCCAGAATAAAAGGAAATCCAGCCTATAAACTGAGAACTGCCTGGTGTGGTGAGAAGGATGTTGGCTTCAAATCTTATTAAGCTTGGTAATGTTTTGGAATTTGCTTGAGGTTTTCTCTTTTTATTTCTTTTGTAACCAATTCTGACTTTTGTACCTTTCATCTCTCATTAATAAACGTGTTTTATTGTTTTAACTAAACCAGTGTGTTTAGAAAACCTCTACTTGAGATAACAAAGGCTGGGGCAGAAACATTACCCGTTGTTGGAATGTCGGACTATCTATCCTCTTATAATGTCAAGGCTCTACTGAGCAGTATCAGATGCACATTTCAGGGGAGCCAAGGCTGGGAGTGGGGATATGTGGGTGTCGCGCTGTGTCTATCCATGGATGGCTGGGCCAGCATTCATATAAATATCTGGGAGTGATTTTGCAGACTAGTTATATGTGCATGAGCAGGCCAGGACTGGCTGGTATGACCTAAAAGGAGCATAAAAGGAACCCCAGATTGGGGGGTTAAGGGGACACAGAAGTTCAGGTTGCACCCTGGGGAATTTCACAGTAAGATTGAAGGATGGAAGTTGGGGGAAGGGAGGTTCTGATCCTGTGGATAGGCTACAGTGAGTTTTAGTCCAGAAACAGACTAATCCCCCGCTAGGGTCACCATTTTGTCTTATAAGCCATGTCCACCACCAGCAGCAACAAGAAATAATTTTGAAGGGTTCTGGTTACGTTGCTGTCAGTAAAGATCTTGACTCCAGAGCTCAATGCATGGCCATCGTTGCAAGCATAAAGTAACTCCAAAGGTCATGGTGTGAGTGGCCTGGCAAGGGCAAGATTTCCTGCTGGGACACTCATCCACGCCTAGGGAGTCATGCAGAAATGAGGGAACCAAACCTGGCCAGATGCTGGGTGGGGACTCAGAAGAGCTGGAATCTTGGCTCCCATTCCAGGCTCTGGAGGGGAGTGTCCACTAGTGGGAAAGACTCGTCTGTGTGCTCATACTCAAGCTTGACTCCTTCAGACTTATCCCCACACAATCACAACTTGTCCCTGTCCCAGAGCAGTTTCTTCCCATCCCTGGCTCTTGTCCCCTTCCCAATCAGAATACCTCACGTGTCTCATTCCAGTTCCAGTCTCCTTTCCCAGCCAGTCCCAGTCCCCAGCATCCTGGCTCCTCATTCCATTTGTCTCTCTCCTCACCTCTTAGTTTCCAGCTGTGCCCACTGGCAGCCCCCCAACATTCCCCAGTCCCACTGAGTCCCAGTCCCAATGTCCCTCCCCAGATACTTAGTCCAATCTCACTGCTGTTCCCCCCGAGCAGCTCCTTGACCCAGTCTCTTTATCTGGCCAGTCCCATCTTCTCCCTGCACCCTGTTGCCTGGACAGATCCATCTCCCCACCCTACTTCCACACACTGGTTTCCAGGCCCAGTTCCATCCCACCACTCGCACCTGCTTGGCTACCCTCTATTGTTAGCATGCTAGCTCGATGGAAGTGTAGACATACCCTTAATCACTGCAGCATGCTCACCTGTCAGTAGAGTACACTGCTCCATAACTCTTCTGGCAAGTGCAAGAGCTGGTCCCAATGGCATTACAGCAACCTCCATTACAGTCGACCCATTACAGAGCTCCCGCTCACTTACCAGTGCTCTGGAGCTGATACTCACCGACACATTTCACTGTTGGATCAGTGAAGTGTTCCTCCCCAGAACTAGATGCAAACCCGCGATTGCAGGTGCAGTGGTAGCCTCCGGGGACGTTTTTACAGGTTGCAGAAGCAGGACAAGTAGACAAATTCCGACACCTGTCAACTGTGAAAGGAAGAAGGAACCATGTCATTGAAAGAGAGCAGAGGATAACCCTTTGCACCTTTTGTTTGACTTCCTCAGTACGGTTTAGCTTAATTCATTAACCTTGACCATGGTCATACCCTTGACTCTTCTGCATGCTCATACCCAAACTTGGCTCCTTCAGCCTTATTCCCCCCACACAGAACTTGTCTCTGTCCCAGCGCAGTTTCTTCCCATCCCTAGCTCTTGTCCCCTTCCCAATCAGAACGCCTCAGGTGTCTCATTCCAGTCCTGGTCTCCTTTCCCAGCCAGTTCCAGTCACCCACTGCACCAAATCCTCCCCTCCCAGTCTCCTTTCCCAGCCAGTCCCAGTTCCCCTGCATCCCAGCTCCTCATTCCATTTGTCTCTCTCTTCCCCTCTTAATTTCCCATTGTGCCCACTGCCTCCCTGCCCCCCAACATTCCCCAATCCCACTGAGTCCCAGTCCCAGTGTCCCTCCCAGATAGTCCAATCTCTCTGTTGTTCCCCCAGACCTGCTCCTTAACCCAGTCTCTTTATCCGGCCGGTCCTATCTTCCCCCTGCAACCTCTTGCCTGGACAGATCCGTCTCCCTGCCCTACTTTCACACATTAGTTTCCAGGCCCAGTTCCATCCTACCTCTTGCACCTCTATTGTTAGCATGCTGGCTCGATAGAAGTGTAGACGTACCCTTAATCACTGCAGCATGCTCACCGGTCAGTAGAGTGCACTGATCCATAATTTTCCTGGCAAGTGCAAGAACTGATCCCAATGGCATTACAGCAACCTCCATGACTCTCGCCCATTACAGAGTTCCCACTCACTTAGCTGGGCTCCAGAGCTAATACTCACGGATGCACTTCACTGTTGGATCAGTGAAGTTTTGCTCCCCAGAAGTAGATGCAAACCCGCGTTTGCAGGTGCAGTGGTAGCCCCCAGGAACATTTTTACATTTTGCAAACGCAGGACAAGTAGTCGAATCCTGACATCTGTCGACTGTGAAAGCAAGAACGAACTATGTCATTGAAAGAGAGCAACGGATAACCGTTTGCACCTTCTGTTTGACTTCTTCTATGTGGTTCACTTTCATTTATTAACCTTATTAACAATGCAGCAAGGGAGAAAGCGTGGACCTACCAGAGCAGGTGGCAGAGGTGGGAGGACCAAGGCAGCTGGCCTTTCTTCTCAGGGAAAGGATCAAGAAAAGACCTCCATCCCTCTCCCCTGAAGCCAGGGAAACAGGAGGACGTGGGAAGCGTAGCTGTGACACCCTGTAGCCCATATTCACCACTTTTATATGCCTATGGTCTATTTTG